TAATAATAATAATAATAATAATAATAATAATAATAATAATTATAATAATAATAATAATAATAATAATAATAATAATAATAATAATAATAATAATAATAATAATAATTATAATAATAATAATAATTATAATTATAATAATAATAATAATAATAATAATAATAATAATAATAATAATAATAATAATAATAATAATAATAATAAGAAGAAGAAACATTTCATATTAAGCATCGGGTACTTCGGACATAATGTCGTAATGTGTTACAGATAGGCCATATTTTAAATTTTTTTAAACCTTTTATTAGTCCTTTTTAGAGAGAATGCGATATCCCTGTACTTTCACAGTCTTAAACATTTCTAGGAGAACTTTATATATTTTTCTTCGAATGTCCTTTAAATTAATCACATTTACACCTTTTTGACATCTTCATTTATGGTCCCTATACAATTTACATGTCTGGCCATTCGATAATGCCAGTAAATGCCCTTTATAAGGATCTGTACAGATAACGATTTTTTGAATATCTGGGCACCAATTCCAATAGCAGTTTCCGTCGTGGAATGATTGTGGTTGCCCAAAGTTTTATGTTATGAGATAGAAGGCTAAAATTTTGCACACATGTATATTTTGCCCGTTGGCAGGTTTGTAAATGGGTCAGGTAGGTCCGCGTTTTCATAAAGCCCCCATATAACGGTACCCCCCGATATTCGGTATTTTGACGATTTTAGCGTCATTATTCACCGGTATTGTTTCAAATTTGGCATTTGAAGTTCGTAAGGGATACTACAGCTTATTACTAAAAATTGTCTATGCAGGTCCAGGTCTTCGTATTGGCCCCATATATCAGTACCTCCCTATATTCGGTATTTTGACGATTTTAGGTACAATACTCACAGAAATTGTTTGAGATGTCGTATTTGAAGTTCGTAATGGATGTAATGGATGAATAAATGGATGCCTGTGACAGAAAATTGTCTACGCAGGTCCACGTCTTCGTATAGCCCCCATATAACGGTACCTCGCTATATACGATGATTTTGATTGATTTTAGCTACCATTTTGATCGTTTATTGCAAGTTTCTAATTTGAATATGGTAATGACTTATAACAAACAATGCCCATGTAGCCCACGTCGTATAGACCCAAATACAATGTCTATACGGTATTTTTAATATTTTAACCGAATTTTTAACGGATTTTATTTTTTTTTTTAATTTCCAAATTTGTTGCAAATGGTGAATGAAATTCAAAGTTCGGCCCGGCCGAACTTACTGCTTTTTAACTTGTTTTTTTTAACTCCTGAATTGTCATTTAATTCCTCGAATTCAGATTCCATTTAATATTGTCTCCGAATACGTATGTCTATCATTTTACATCAATATTCTGATGGACAACAATTTATTTTGACCCGAAAATTCAAATTTATTACCTGGACGGCAGACTCAGTTCTTTTCCCTCTCTCTCCCTCTTTCGGATTCGTTGTAAAGGATTCCATATACTAAATATGAAAGTACATATACATGTAGGTATTTATGTATTTGTGTTATAACGATTACATAAATTACAGCAACAAACAACTCAAGGCACCTTCGCCATTACAACTTCCATAGATTCCCAGAGGAAAGCAACAACACGGTGACTTTCCAACGGATTTTGCGCACCAATCGACGAAATTTCAATTTGAACAAACCAAGGAATATCAAACTATTTGTTCTTTGGCTGAACAACTCCAATATTCTGCATATATAGTAGCTATTTACAAACAAAAAATCTTTATTTTTTCCACAACAAACAATTTAAGCCTTCCACAAAGGAAGTCAAGAGGGATGGTTGGCTGTCGGGCTGGTTGGTTTCAATTCCAATGCTTATCACTCATGCTGCAGCGAGAAGTCAATGGGACAACTTTATTCCGTTTCGGCAAATGCCACCACAAAAACATCCATAAAACCATATAACAACAGCAACAACAAACAACAAATGGGCGGAGCTGTTACAAATTATAAAACCCCCCTCCAAAAAAAACCGACCAAGTTAAGGTCTTTGCTTTCATCGCTTTATTGCCGGTAATTCAAAATAAATGACGCCCCTTTTTTTTGATTCGAATTCCGCTAGCGGCTTGACAATGATTGCAGCAACAACAACGATAGACATACATATTATGAGCAGAGATGAATAGAGCGAGCGTATCAACCACCATCATCGTAGATAAGCCAGAGTCCCAGCAAACAAAAACCTATATGCTGTGTAGAGAATTCATATATATTTCTCCTGGCTTTGTAGAGTTTCTCAGTTACGAGAAGTGGCAAAGAGCCCTTAGTCTATTGAACATCTTATGGAAATACAGTGGGCAAAATTTTAAATAAGCCTCCTGACCAAATCCACATTTTCGAACTCTCAATGGTTCAACAAAAAAAAAAAAAAAAAAAAAAAAAAACTCTCCAGGATTCTTCAAAACTTCCATTTTAATAGCTTTTAATAACCCTGAACATAGATAGAGCTTCCTCCACTTAAAAGCCACTTTAATGATGTGGGTGGACTGATTTACGGATTTTTTGGGATTTATTTTTTCATTCAAAACCTTTACAAGACTTGCAAGGTCATTTCTAGGATTTTTTAAGAAACCACATTTCTATCCTTCTCTAGACTTTTGGTGCCTCTAATAGGATTTCTTTAAGATATCCCGTTTCAATCCTGACAGACTTCGCAGGACATAGGATTAATTGAGGAAACCATTGAAATTATATGTTTTCCAAATTTTTGGAGGGCTCCTGATTTCTTTTTGGAGCCCTCATATGATTCCTTTCTAAATACTTTTACATTTCAATCTCCTCTAAAGACTATTTAGGGTCACTCTAGGGTTCCTTAAAAAAGCATTATCTCAAGGGTCAAATACCTCAAAAATAATGACCGATAATGACTCTTATTAAAGGAATAATAGAGGCCAATTAGGACCATTGTCTCGGAGATAATTGCCGGTAAGGACCATACGGTCTGGACCATAATCTCAGATATAATGGCCAGTCAGGACCATTATATCGGAGATAGTGGCTGCTCCTGTCAAATATTTTAGAGACAATGGCCGATCAGGACTCCATTGTCAGGACCTTTATCTCGAATATAATAACCGGTCAGGACCATTATCGCGGAGATAATAACCGGTAAGGACCTTTATCTCGAATATAATGACCCTTCAGGACCATTATTGGCTAGATAATGGCCGATCAGGACAATTGTCTCCAAAATAGTGGCCGGTGAGGACCATTATCGCGGATATGATGGCCGGTGAGGACCATTATCGCGGATATAATGGCCGGTCAGAACTTTATCGGGGATAATGGCCGGTCAGGATTATTATCTCACAGATAATGGCTCGTCAGGACATTATCTCATAGATAATGGTCTAAGACATAATGACTGGTCAGGACAATTATCTCAGAGATAGTGACCGGTCAGGACCATTGTCTCCAAGATAGTGGCCGGTGAGGACCATTATAGCGGAGATAATGGCCGGTCAGGATCATTATCGCGGAGATAATGACCGGTTAGGACCTTTATCTCAGAGATAATGGCCTGTGAGGACCATAGATAATGGCCGGTCAGGATTATTATCTCACAGATAATGGCCTGTCAGGACCATTATATCAGAGATAATGGCCGGTTAGAACCATTATCTGGAAGATAATGGCCGGTCAGGACCATAATCTAAAAGTTAATGGATCGTCTGGACTTTAATATCGGAGGTTGGGGCCATATAGGGTCTAATAAGGACCATTATTTTAGAGATAATGGTAATTTAGGACCATTATCCTAGTGATAATTACGGCCTGAAAGGACTATTATCTGTAAGATAAGAGCCGGCCAGGATTATTATCGGGAAGATAATGGCCGGTCAAGACCTTTATCTCGGAGATAACGGCCGGTGAGGACCATTATCTGGAGATATTGGCCGGTCAGGACCATAGTCTCGGAAATAGTGTCCGGTCTAGACCTTTATCTCGAAGATAATATTCCGTCAGGACCTTTATCTAAGAGAAAATGGCCGGTCAGGAAAATTATCTAGAAGATAATAGCCGGTCAGGACCATAGTCTCGGAAATAGTGTCCGGTCTAGACCTTTATCTCGAACATAATATTCCGTCAGGACCTTTATCTAGGAGAAAATGGCCGGTCAGGGCCTTGATCTTGGATATAATGACCGGTCAGGACTTATACTCGGAGATAATGGCCGGTCGGGACCTTTATCTATAATATAGTAGCCCATGAGGATCTCTATCTAGGAGACAATAGCCTATGAGGACCTCTATCTAGGAGATAATAGCCGATTTTTGTCATTATCTAGCAGATAAGGAAAATTATCTCTAATATACTGGGCATTCAGACCCATTATCTAGGAGATAAGAACCCATGAGGTCCATTCTCTTAGAAACAGTGGTCGGTCAGGTCCATAACCACGGAAACAAATGTTTCCGTGGTTTTTCTAATGGATTTTAGTTAAGGACTACTATCAAAGGACTTCCCAGGATCCTTCCTTCAGAATTATATAAGGCATCGAAATTCTTAGTTTTGTTTCATCCTCCCTTATATTTAAATTACGCCTATAAAGGCATAGTTCGTTTTTAGCAGCCCACTGTTCAAACATTTCATTAAAGTATCTCTCTCTCTTGTCCCGGAGAGCAACTAGAGATTGTGAGAGCTTTCACCCTTAACAACAGTTTTTCTCGCAGAAAGAGCACATCCATCTATCGGTATGGGGTGTTACTTCTTGGCTCCAAAACTGTGGCGAAGCAACAACATATACTTCAGGCATGCTCAAATGTCATCCACTTGTCCAAGTATTGGGTGGTGGTGTTCGTAGTGGTGGAACCAATGCCAGCCAGCCAGCCAACCAACCATACACCCATCCATGGAAGGGAGCCGTCTACTGCCGCTGCTGCTGTCGCCTGCCTGCCTGCCTTTGTTAACCGGCATTAGTCGGCGAGAGAGATTGGTGCCAAAAAATAAGAATTCCAGTTAGAATTGACACCGCAACGCGTAACGACGACACCGAAACGAAACGAAGACAGAACGACGTCGTCAAGGAACAACAACAACTGGAAAACGCAAAACGACAAATCGCGAAGCTCAGCTATTTGACCAATATATACCTGGAAAAAGTGCTTGACTCGGCCATTCTTGGGCAGACAGACGGACACCCCACTGTTGCAAAAAACTCGTCGTATCCCGTTAGTCGTTATCGCCAACTCTTTAGCAACGGTTGCAATAATGATAGCCTAAAGTCGGGTTTTGAAGAAGAAGACGAACAAAAAGAAAAAAAAATATTTTGGAAAACAGTTTTGAAAAAAATAAAAATACGCTGAGTTTTGAAAAAAAGAAGGAAAACCAAAGCAAAAAAAAAAAGCGAAATATTTTGAAATCCAACCCATATTGAGTTTCCGTTAACGTTTTGTTTTTTGAAAATTAAGCAATAAAATTTCTGTTTTGAACCAAAAAAAAAAAAAAAAAATCCGGTGAAATCGAAACCCCTTTGAACGGATCGGTAACGGAATCGAATGTGGTGCAAAGTGACAAAGTGAAAATCGAAAGCAAAGATTCAATTGCATGAAAAGTCGGCACCAATTGCAAATCGAAAGTGGTTAAAAACTACCCTCCCCGCACCGGTCCTCCTAGTGTTTTTGTGATACCGACTTACCCACCATAAAATTCTCTTCAATGAAAATGGAGGATCCAAACCTCGCTGACCAGTATGTACAAGAATTTGTACTTGAACATCTGGAGGATGGTACTTCGGCGCCGGTTGGTGTCAAGCGGGAAGATCATAGTCCCACATCGGCCACGGCCGTGGCCAAGATCACCTGGACCGCCGAACCGGCAGCCATGGGGCCAGAAGATGAAGAAACCGCCGTTGAGCCTTTGATAAAAATGCGTTCATTTTCCACAAATTGGACACACATGGATGAGAGGCGGCTGCAACCGCTGTCACCACCTCCGGAAATCTATACCCATGGACCGATGACGGGTCAAGCGATTTTGGTTAATACCTCGGTGCCAGGTGGGGTGCCATCTACTCCACCGGAAACACCACCTGTTATTGGCTCGCCCACAGGCAGTACCTGTGCCCAGGCATATGCCGGCGTGCCAGCTTCCCATTATGCCAGCCACCACCGACCCGCACCCACCAGTGCCGGTTTGACCCAGGAAATGATGTGGCTGCCCAATTCCATGCGTACCGATCCCCAGCCATTGGATTTAAGGCCGCTGGCAGGTCCCAGCCAGGAGGAGGAATGGGAAAGGCACCGCGAATATATGCAATCCGTGGCAGCTGCCAACCACCACCACAGCCACCATCTCCATCTGCAACAGAGTCAACATCCCCACCACCATCATCATCATTTCCAGCATCTGGAGCATTTGGCGCCCATTCAAATGCATCCTTCGCCCTATCACAACATTACGAATTGTCCACCCACCAGCTCCTCAGCGGCGGTTCTACACAACAACCCATCCTCGAATGGTCATCAGCACTCCTCGAATCGCCCCACTTCGGTGTGTTCGACCCGTTCATCAACAAATTCCCCGCGCACCGTTTCCGGACATTATTCCACCTCCAGCCAGCTGGGAATTGATGATTGCATTGATGACGATCTGCTGACCACCCTCTCGGTTAGGGAGCTAAACAAGCGTCTGCACGGGTGTCCGCGCGAGGAAGTGGTGCGTCTGAAACAAAAGCGACGTACCCTCAAAAATCGTGGCTATGCACAAAACTGCCGCTCAAAACGTCTGCTGCAGCGCCATGAGCTGGAGAAGACCAATCGCCAGCTCAATCAAGATCTACATCGACTGAAATTGGAATATACGCGAGTGTGTCAGGAACGTGATCAATTGAAACAGCGATTACAGTCACGCAGTGGTTCCAGTTCCTCACCGCCCAATAGTGCGGCGACGGGCAGTGCCGTCATTGCCTTGAATGCCACAGGTGGGCCTAGTTCGCAACAGCAGTTGTCTAGCGAAAATCAGAGCTCACCGGAATTCTATCTCTGACGTCAATTAGCAGCAGCTGCCAATGGTCATCATCATGCTCCTCATCATCATTCCCAGCATCATCATAATGTTGTGGCTGCCGCCGCCGCAGCAGCAGCTGTTGCGGCCAGAGATCACCCTCATCATCATCAGCATCCGCCGGGCCATAGTTCCCATGGCCAGCAGCAGGCCCATCAATGGACTTCATCGGCCAGATATCAACAACAACAGCAGCAGCAAATGATGCAGCAGCAACAACAATCCACCGCCGCAGCAGCAGCCGCCGCCGCCGCTCTTCATGCTCCACAATCGCAACAAGGCATTCTCCAACCTCAACCACCGCCACCAACAGCAGTTGTAAATTAAGCCACAAAACAAAACTGTTATAATTCTCATCAGGTTCAATGCAAAACAGAGACATAAGTATACGTTCCAAGGTATGTAGGGGGGGGGGAGAGGTGTTTTTATGATTTCAATTTGAAAATAATTCAAAGCGGGTTTTGATCTAGAATCGTGTATTTTTGCGTTAATGCTTTTGTATGAATAATTTTGGAAGTAATGACGGAGGTGCAGAGAAGGGGTGTTTGGATGTCAGAGTTAAAAAATAACAAATTCGGAGAAAAGTGTTTCACAAATTGACTCCGTTTTAAGTTTCCCAACTGTCCCATCTTGGGAAGTCTTAAAGGTGTCGTCAAGTTGTTCTGCTTTCCGGCTTTATTTTAGAAGCTGTGCAACATTTTTCCTGTACGATAAAACCTGGTGGTGCGCTGTAGTTTGGGAGCCATTTTTGCCTTGCCCTTGGTATGCTTAACAAAAGGAGTCGGAATCAATTCAAGTTTTGTGCTAACTGTCGTAAAAATGGTTACTGGCGGTTTGATTTCAAACGAAAAGTATTTCCACCATGCGACAAAAATGGAGCCCAAATTTAGTCGTAATCATCGGACCACCACAATTCTATTCATCATTACTACACAACTATGAATAGAGGTTCCAAGTATACCCAAATCCCTAATCAAGGTTCCCTAACTTTGCCGTTTTTTGAATTTCTGGTGGTCTTGGTTGTTATGACACGTGAACTAACCTGTCCAAGGGATCCCTAACCTCCTATGTCTCAGGAATAACTAACATTGCGATTAGCAAACAATTCACCGGAAGTGCTTGTGCCAGTTTGCCAGCGCAGTGAGTGAGTTGATTCTGGTGCTAAATTGAAGAGATTCCTAGCTTACGGCAAAAATGGCGCCCGACGTGGGGTGACTCAATTCACTAACAGTGCTTGTGCCAGCTTGCCAGCTCAGTGAGCGAGTTGATTCTGGCGCCAAATAGGAGGGATTCCTAGCTTGCGGCAAAAATGGCGCCCGACGTGGGGTGACTCACTGACAAGATATGTGGGAACAAAATTCTACTCAAACCGTAATGATTCGATAACCAAGATTTCCAATCACGTCAATGCTTCGTTGGATTTGGAGAATGATCTTTTTCTCAGGAAGAGTGAGCGCCAAGTGCTCCAGATGTTTTTTTTTAAGAATGTAGTCTATTGTTGTAATAGGGGGGACAAGGAAAAGATTCAGTCGGGGCGTCAAAGGTGGCGCCCAACGAAAAAAAAATTCCCAGATTCTTGAGCCAAATTAAAAAGATCCATAGCATGTGAATAAAATGGCGCCCAACGTATATAACCAAGTTCTTATATATTTTCTCTACAATTCAATAACACTTCCGCAATTCAACGAAGGCGCCCAACGTCTTTTGCTTAGTTCGTATACAACTTATCTACACATGTTTGGTATCTCCACAAAAATAATTTAATTTCCATCAAGTCTAGGCTTCCATGGATTTTAGGAAATGTCAAATCCATGAAGATCGGTAGCATTCAAAATTCAGAAAAAAATTTTAATTAATTGAAAAACAATAAAACTTAATTCAAAAATCGCTGAAATATTCACAGATGGCGCCCAACATACATTACTGTATTGTTATGAAATTTCCAAACAAATTTCCATTATTAGGCGTTCTTCAAAATATCTGGGTACTTCTATTTCGAGGTTCTCAAGGGGATAAAATTTAGTATTTTGTAAAAGCATCCAAAATATAAATTTTGTGAATCAATTGACATCAAATTGTCAGTCTTACAATTGATGATCGAAGGACATAAGTCATCCAACTTTACATCTGGGTTGTTTACGGAATTAAAGGCCTTAACATAAGGGTATTTTTTTCTTGAATCGACATCCAAGTAGAGATAAGTATTCCAGGGCCGATTTGAACTGAGTCGGTTTTTTAGACATTAAAAGTTAGCGATGAATTATGTCGCAAAAGGTAACATTTTGTGTTTAGGCTTTGAATCTCCAAACATAGTCATCACCAAAATTAGGCAATGGCAATTAGGACAGCTTCTATGGAAACTAAAAACTGTTTTCCTCATGATTCGGAAACAAAAAACATCTACTGTAGAGAAATGGCGCCCAACGTAAATTTCGACAAGGTTCATTTGTCCTAAAAATTCGCTTTGAATTTGAAAAAAAAAAAAAATAAAATGGGAATATCTATTTTCAAAATGGCGCCCAATGTATATTTCTACTTTTGAAATGACTGTGCAATCCAATGTTAGCCAATTTTCAATGTATTTTTGGAACCTAAGAACCGTTTTCGCCATGATCCGAAAAGGGGACAGAAATGGCACCTAACGTAAATTTTTAGTAAGCCTTTTGGATGCAGAACTCAGTATTTTTATCGATCTGAAAGCCTTTTTTTGCAAAAATTTAGGAAAATAAATTTCACGAAGAGACTACGGAAATCACTTCTGACGAGTTTCTAAGAAAAAACATATGACACATAAATGGCGCCCGACGTAAATTTTGACTAAACTTCTATGGATTTTAAGAACCTTTTATTAAGAGGAAAATTACACCAAAAGTGGCGCCCAACGTATTCTTCTTCCCTTGAAATGATGTTAGAATGAAATTTTGTACCAGTTTTTATAGAACCTCAAAAGCGTTTTTTTCATGATTTAGAGCTAGAAACCATCTTGTGCATAGAAATGGCGCCCAACATCAATTTGACTAAGATTTGGCCCCAACTTCAATTTGACTAAGCTTTCAAGGATTTTAAAATTATTTTTAATGAAGTAAATATGCAAAAGGAGGTTTCATTGTACAAAGCAATACAAGTCCAGGTTTCCACAGGTTATGCCTACATCTTGTCATTGGGTTCACAATGATTTCAGGACTCAGTATTTTCATGGATTTTTTTAAACGTTTGAATACAATTTATTAAAAACAATTTAGTTTATAATTCATTACTCCGAAATAGCTACGACGAGTTTCGACGGGTTTCTAGGAACTTTTTTTTTGACAGAAGTGGGCCCCAAATTCAATTTGTCCAAGCTTCCGTGATTTGACCAATTTTCGATGAATTGTAAAAAATTCCTTAAAAAATTTAAGGAAGAGAAAATTTAACAAAAAATTCAATTTTACAAAGTGGCGCCCAAGGTCTTCTTCTTCTCTCAAAATTATATTGGAGTTCAATGCATACCAGTTTTTATAGAACCCAAGAAGCGTGTTCTTCATGATTTAGGGTTAGAAAACATCTTCTGGACAGAAATGGCGCCATTCCATTGCACAAATAAACCAAGTCCAGGTTTCCATAGGTTATTTCTTCAGCATGTGTTTGGGTTCACAATGGATTCGGAACTCGGTATTTTCATGGATTCTCAAAAGTTTTGGATTTTAAAAACATTTTAGTTTAGAATTCAATACTCCGAAATGGCTACGACGGATTTCGATGGGTTTGACGGGTTTCTAGGAAAACAGTTTTTAATTTCAATTTGGGCAAGCTGCCATGGATTCTTTTTAAGGAAGGAAAAAGAAAAAATTAAGTTCCAAACATTTTTTCAGTTTTAACCTAAATCTTCCAAATGTAAAGAGCTACAGTTGCGCTCCCACAAATGAAATGATATAACCCTTATCATAATATGTACTCTCTGATTGTGTGCGTTTTGGATTTGGTCCATCAAAGATATTTTTTTTTTTTTGTTAAATTTGAAGGAAAACATTTTTTTTGACAGAAGTGCCGTCCAATTTAAATTTGTCCAAGCTTCCGTGGATTCTTTTAAAGGAAGGAAAAATAAAAATAATAAGCTTCAACATTTTTGCAGTTTTTACCTAAATCTTCCAAATGTAAAGAGATACAATTGCACTACCAGAAAAAAGTTATATAACTTCTACTCTCCGATTGTGTGAGTATTAAGGTTCTAGGTTATCTACAAAGCTAGGGGTTTAGTCCATCATAAATATTTTATTATTTTATTTTATTTATTTTTTAATTTAAACGTTAACCGTTTTACCTATTTTTGTTGAATAATTCGCCAAACCTCATTGAAATCCGATTGCTCTATTTTGTTTTCTCTCATTTCTCATTTCTTTGTTTGCGGAAATATTTGCGTTCGTTGCCTTGATCTACATTTCATGTTGGAGACTTGGTTAATTTTCTCTTTTTATTTTTCTTCGACCTCAACATATCATTGACCCAGTTAAGTTGAGTTCTTTTTTTAATATTGGAACTTCTTTGGGAAATAAACACAGAATTCTTCAAAGTTATTAAAAAATAAAGCGGAACAAAAATTGAAGTCAAAAGAAGTGAAATTTTTTTGAGGGAAAAATGGCGCCCAATTTTGTACTCAGAATTCTTCATAGTTATTAAAAAAAACAGTGTGGAACAAAAATTAAAGTTAAAAAAATAAAAAAAAAAAATAAAAAATATAAAATTTTGCATCGCCGATTGAGGGAAAAAATGGCGCCCAATACATGGTGTCTAAATTCTAGAAAGTATTTTCGCAGGGATTTTTTTTAATTTCTCTGTAAATCAACATTCCAGACACAGGGATGCTTAAACTCTATTGCTATCACTTCTTTTGCAATAATTTCGAATCCAATCCCATTATGACTATGCCTTATTTTTCTGCAAAATTCCAGAAATTAACCCAGTTAAGCTGAGTTCATTTTTTTTTTTTTTTTTTTTTTTTTGGAACCTCCACGATTTTAATGAAAAAGTCAAAGAATTCTTCAAAGTCATTAAAAACAAAGCGGAACAAAAATTAATGCTAAAAAAAGCTCAAAAAATATAAAATTCTTACATCAACGATCGAGGGAAAAATGGCGCCCAATGCATGGCGTTTAAAATCTGGAAAGCCTTTTCGTAGGGATTGTTTTAAAATTAGTATGTAAATCAACAATTCTGACACAGGGGTTTAACGTTTATTCCTACCACTTCTCTTGCAATAATTTCGAATTCATTTCCATTATGTGACAATGCCTTATTTTCCTGCGAAATTCAAGAAATTGGCCCAGTTAAGTTGAGTTGATATTTTTTGGAACTTTCACGATTTTAAGGAAAAAGTGACAGAATTCTTTAAAGTTATTAAAAAAACAAAGTGGAACAAAAATTAAATGTTCAAAAAAAGTTTAAAAAAATATATAAAATTCGTGCATTACCGATCGAAGGAAAAATGGCGCCCAATTGCAATAATTTCGAATTCAGTGCCATCATGAATATGTCATTTTTTCTGCAAAATTTTTACTTTTCTTTAAAAAAAATGTAAAATATTATTAAAATTTTTGAGATTTTCCCTGTTTTTCGCAAGAATAACAATAACAGTACTCTCTGTGGCTAGATTCTTGTTTTATGAAAAAAAAAAACAAATGAAATATATTTTTTTTATTTTTTTCATTTGGCAATTATGTTTCCATTTTAAATTTTTATAGAATAAAAGAATTAAGAACCCTGCAATTTATTTTCACTCCAATTGTTTCACATAAGTCATCAAATCATTTCCGTATCCCTCCCAAGTCCTGCTGTAGGGTATTCCAAACATTATCTCTATCATTTGTTTCCTCCTTGTAACATTGTAACAAATTTTTATTGATAAGTTTTTTAAAATCTCAAATCAATTTTAAACATTGTCTATTTTTTGCCGAAAGCGAAATTGAAAACACACAATCATGTCAAATGGAAATTAATCGCTTTGCATGTAACACAGCGCATCGAATCGAATGCAATCAATAAAAAAAATGTAACAGAAACTATAACGCCACTGTTTCAGGTTGACAGCCGTCGGTGGAGAGGCGAAAGGCAAGAAGGTGGACAACACGGGGCCCACCATGATTACAAGGGTTAGCCAGTTCATTGTACCCTTTAAATGTCATTGTTAACATGGGGAGGGCGGGGGCACGTTTTGTATGACGTTCGATAGGTGTTTTTTCGTTGGGAAAAGTGAGAAAATGAATAAATTACAAATTGATGGAAAATACGTTCATGTGTACACATTGAAACAATTAATTGCAAAAAACCAAGTGCAAACTTTAATTTGATTTGGATTTAAATTATTTATAAATAGGTCCAAAAATCAGTTATAAAAGTCATCTATTGAACATACAAGACTTTAATTGGCTCAGTATGAAAAACAACAAAATTTTAAACATTTTTAAATATTTTAAAAATATATTAAATATTTCCACTTTTTTACAATACCCATTACATTTGTATTTTTAAAAAATTATTTTGACGAAGGCGTATGTTGGGACTACGGCAAAATGTTTCAAGGTAAAGTGTTTCATTATTGGTACAGAAATTTATTCTCATTTACTGATCCCTAAGAAGTCAAAATCCAGTAACATTTCGTACAAATTATTACAAAATATTAGCTTCGCAGACAGTTGTTGTTGACAGAATTCTATTTAAAAACCAAAAAAAGAAAGTCTATGACTTGGGGATAGATGGCGCCCAACGTTCATTGTTGGCCCTGTTTTGCATCAATGCGGGTAATAAGTGGACTCCCATACCGATGGCTCAAAATGAACGATATCGCCGCCTATTGTGAGTACTTAAGATCCGAAAGTGTTTTCCGACGGATACCTTCCTTACAATAAACCTCAAACTATAACTAAGTCTGAAGTATTAATAACGAATTTAAATACCATAATTTCTCAAAAGATTCGACTTGTATAAATCGACCCACAATGTAATTCTATGTAGATCAGTGTGTTGGAGGATTTAAATCCATAAATAGAACACAGCGGCTCTGCTTAGATAGTCCTAAAAAACTTCTGGCAAAAGTTTTGGTTTTGGGTTATTAAAGCTTTGAAGAAAAAAAAAACATTAAAAAAGCACAAAATTGGGTCAAGAGGTCTTTGAGAAAGAAGAAGTATCAATAAATGTTCATGACTTTTTATATGGAATTTCTTGGAAAAAATCCATTCTTGACCAGGGCATCTCAAATGTAATCCAAAAATACTTTAACAAATTTCCTCAAGAAAAAAAATCATGAAAAAATATACTAAAAATCAGAAATATCATAAAAAAAAAATTGAATTTAAAAGGATAGCCAATAAAATCCGATTATCGGTAGATGCCATAATATACAGGGCGAGATAAAATACTGCAAAAAAGTCAAACACCATAATTTTTACATTTTTTTCTAAATGAAAGCAAAAGATGTCGGAAATAGCATCATATTGAAGAATATGCTTAGATTTGTTCGAATTGGTCACCTTTGGCACGAATTATGACCTTCAAACGGCAAATGCTGCCCGAATGTTGCTCTGCCGTATTTTGGCCCGTTCCCGTCGAAGCGTTTGCTTGAGGTGATCGACACTTTGTCAACTTTGCTTTACAAAATTCTCCAGACACAATAGTAAAACGGATTGATATCCGGAGATTGTGCGCTGGAAATCGAGCGAGGAACCTCATTTTGTATCCATTCTTGGGTGGCGCGTGCTGAGTCCTGTTGGAATGTCCAAGGTCTGCGGCCAAAACGTTTTCAAAAATTTTGTATTGAAAAAATTTGATAAGTGTCTCTTCAGTTGAATTAAAACAAGTAAAAAAGCGGCCGGGCCGAACTTTGAATATCCTCCACCATTTGGAACGAATTAGAATGTGTTCAAAAAGAAAATATAAAATCCATTAAAAATTCTGTTAAGCTCTTAAAAATACCGAATATCGGAAGGTGCCGATATATGGGGAGATATACGATATTGTGGACTTATATAGACAAATCTAAGTCTGTGGGTAAAGTACTCACAAAGAACTCCTTGTGTAGAATTTCAGACAATTCCGTTGAAAAATATGACTAAAATCATCAAAATACCGAATATCGAGGGGTACCGCTATATATGGGGGCTATACGTTATCGTGGACCGATGTAGCCCATCTTCGAACATGACTTGCCTGCAGACAAAATACTGATCCTATCTTTATTCGTTTTAACTCTAGCTTGATTACAACAGGCGGATAGACGGACAGGGCTCAATCGTCTTAGAATTTCACGCTATTGAAGAATATATATACTTTGTTGGGTCTAAAATGATTATTTCGATGAGTTACAAACGGAATGACGAACTTAATATACCCCCCATACAATGCATGGTGGAGGGTATAAAAATGAAATAAAATAGAAAAAACCACCCATCTGCCAATTTATTAAAATCACGATAGAGCTCCCACTATTAAAGAACTTAAAGAATTTTTATACTTTGCATAAACATTAATAATATTTTTAGAATGGTTGGCACTTAAAATGTCATATATTTCGGGCACATCGTACTAAATTTTCAGACTTTCAAAATTTTCTTTTTTTAATAATGTTAAAATTTTTTCTTTTTCGAATGTTTAAATTTCACACAAAAATGTCCGCAAAATCTTTCATTTTAAAGTTTTCCCGAGAAGGATCCAATTCTTCTGGCCAAAACTATTTCAACGTCTCCGTATGTAAACCCCATAAACCAACAGTGACCTCAATATCAAATTTCAGAATTTAAGTTCTGCAATTTCCCTGATTACCAAATTTAGTACCATTTAGAACAAAATAGTACGCATATCAAAAATCAGTTGCTTCTCTCAGCACAGACATCAGTGACACCCATATTAAATTTCCAGATTCCAGCTATATCCCTTCATCCAATACCAAATTTAGCACTTTTTGTACAATTTTAGTAGATTTTTCGTACTTTCTTAAAATATCATAAATCGATTAAAGTCTAATCATAAGCTCCATATAACGGTCCATCCTGATATTCGGTGTAATTTTATATTTCAGGTTCTCATTGAAAAAAAAAATATATTAAATGTGGATCTAATTATAGTTATGGGTCTAATTTAACGAGACTTTCCAATTTTCGACATTTCAAAGATTTTGGTCCAAATTCCCAACCAAAGCAGATGCAATTTGACATTTGGGGTTCTCGGTGTTTTGATATAACCCTCGTGAAAAAATATTAAATGTAAGTCTTCTTTTAAGCATAGCGCCCCTATAACGCTATTCTTGGGGTTTTGGTCCCAATTTCCAAACAATAAGTACCTCTCCCGATAAATCTTCAATATTATCGGATAGTGAAGCTGACTTGACCATAAGTCTTAAAATATAGTTAAAAAAAATCCCTTTAAAGAAATAAACTTCTTTTATATATTTACCTCTACATTGACACATGGCGGATATAAGGTTGGCCAAAAAACTACTTGTGACAACATTTTCGCAATAAAATGAGTAGAGTTTGTTCTTTGAATTTCAAATTACAATTATTTTGTCAGATGGACTTACCGGTCGATCTTATATAGGCCTTGCATAGACATAAATTTTCAAATGAAAAATTTTCGTCAGGAATTATTAAAAAAAGTCAAAAAAATTGAAAGAACAAAAAGAAATAATTATGAATAACGATATCTTTTTTTCAGATTATTTTTGTTCTTTTTAAATATCATGTTTTCTGCGAATATTGAAAATTTATTTGGTTAATGAAAAATAACAGTTTTTCATTTTCCATGAAAGCACCCTCCCTCCTGACCTCTGTCATTTTTTCTTATAATAAAAAAATAATAATAATTATAATAAAAAACAACATATTCTCACACATGTATGTATGGTTGTGTTAAGTTCAACTTAAGATTTATTTTTGTATACATATTAATAAATTATTATCATTATTATTATTAAAACTATTATTAATTTTCTAAGGTTACGTTTTCATTTCCATTATTTTTTCTTTGCAACAACATTAAATGTGTCAACTATTATTTAATATTAATTATTATTATTTTATTTTTAAAATAAGAAAAAAAGCTATTGTAAATTTAAAAAAAATCATGTTGAAATTCATATAAACAAAAACTGAAAAAAAAAAATACAACAACAAAAAACCGCAAACAAACAAGGATAACTGCGTATGAGCTTAGCCACGTAAGTCTTTAAAAGCAAACTACAATCGTCAATAATAATCTTTAAAATTAATAATAATTTAAAAATATTAAAAAAACTAAGAAAAAAAAAACGAATAATCCTATTGTTATATAATTAAAATAATTTTATTAAATAATTTAATGAAAATGAAAAAAATGAATTAAATATAAATTTCTTTGTAAACTGTATATAGAAAAATTGTCTTAGGTTAAGCGAAAAAAATATGAATTGACTGCACAATTTGTGTGTGTGGTTCTCTAATGGTTAAGGATAATTCAAGAAAATGAAAAAAAAAATAATAATAAATAAAAAAATTATGAAAAATTAAAAAAAAAACAATATGTGAATTTTATTATGGAAAAGAAGTGGCTCCCAATTTATTGAATTTATATTGAGGTTATCAAGGGCACCAATTTATTTTATATGAAAATTAGACTAGATTTCGTTTTCAAGACCAGGAAGGTTTATATTGGAGAGTAAACCTTTTCTAGCTGAATTTTTGTAAGAGATTCAGTTTGTTTTTCAAGAAACATGTAAACATAATTTCAATGCCGACCCTCAATTTAATAAAGAAGAGCCTCTGAGGAATTTTTAGAAAAGGACCTTCCATAAAATTGCTCTCACTTTTTTTCACTTTCTATTAGAGTTTTGGGTTAGTGAGGAAGTATTGTTAGTTTAGGGAGGAAGTATTTTTAGTTTAGGGATCTCTAACATGACCCTCTTGGAAAAAATACTTTCTCGAAAAACACACAATATGTTAAAAGGAATTGATCTGTCGACCGATACACAAATATATACCCTCTACCTATAACTAATTGTATGTATATTACCAATACAGTTCAGGTCCTTATTTGGATACGAAACTTTTCCAAAAAAACACTTTTGGTCAGGAGGTCCATGAAAAAATATTTTTATATGTCCACGATTTCTACCACTAAGTCCTCGAAATGTCCATGACTGGTTATTCCATGATTGAAATTTTAAAAACAACTTAAAAGATTATTGAATTTTTTTAAAAATTACTTTTGTCCAAAATGATAATGAGAAACATTATTCATAACTTTTGTCCAGAACGGTCATATACAGGATGAGATAATAAACTGCAACAAAATCAAACGTAATATTTTTAATTTTTTTTTTAACTTTTGTTGAATGAAAGCAAAATATGTCGGAAATAGCATCAAATTTTAGAATAAGTTTAGATTTGTTCGATTTGGTCACCTTTGGCACGAACGGCAATGAAATCGTCACTCGCTGTCCGGATGTTGCTCTGCGGTATTTTGGGCCATTTCCGGCGAAGCGCTTGCTTGAGGTGATCGACGCTTTGGTATTTTTTAGTGCCAACCTTGCTTTCCTCCAGACACAATACGGTCCAACGGATTGGTATCCGGAGATTTTGGTGGCCATTGTGCGCTGGAAATGAAGCGAGGAACATCATTTTGTAACCATTCTTGGTAGCGCGTGCCTGAGTGCGATGGTGCTGAGTCCTGTTGCAATCCAAGGTCTGGGGCCAAAATGTTTCCGTGCCCAAGGCTTTAATACACCATCCAGAATATTTTCGCGATAATATTCGGCATTTATTCTGATGCCACGGTCGATTAATACGAGCGGAGAGCGACCATCGGCTGTTATGTCGGCCCACACCATCACCATGGCCTTGCGCTTGAGTTCTGGTGGCCAACCGAAGGTGCACATTTTCAGCTGACCTCTTTGGACAACGAATGTTTTCTCATCGGAGAAAACCAAATAAGGCAGTTCACCACTTTTGGCCAAACGAAGCAACTCTTTAGCTCTTTTGAGTCTTTTTTTCTTTCTGTTGCGGTGTAAGTTCTTGCACTTTTTGGAATTTCAATGACTTTACCCCGAGCTCATTTTCAATATTTGCCGAATGGAATATTGCGATAAGTTCAGCTCACGAGCCATTTTTCGGCCACTGCGACTTGGGTTTCGATCAAGTCGCTTCTTTATGAAATGACAGCAGACTGATGTTGGTTGCAGTTTTTTAATCTCACCCTCTAGCATACATTTCCAAAACCACACCACATCTCAGTCGTAGATAGCAATAGAGACCTGAATATGAATTTTGAGAATTTCAGCTCTACTTCTACACCCAATATCAAATTTAGTTTTATTTATACAATTCTATTAGTGCTCCACCTCCATATCTTAACAAATTTAGTACTTTTCCATCCCACATCTCAATCCCACATACCAACAGAGACCTCAATATCAAATTTTAAATCAAATTCTGCTCTATTTCCTCACCCAATACCAAATCACCTACGTATTAAAATTCTATATATTAACAGGGACCTCAATGTCAAATTTGAGGATTCCAGTCTTATTCCTTTACCCAATAACAAATTTAGTACTATTTAGTACTTTTCCTGCAAAACTCTATCCCCTTACCCAATTCCAAATTTAGTTCTATTTAGTATTTTTCGTATAATTTTAGCACGTATTTCTAAAACCACCTCCACACCTCAATTCTAGATACCAACATAGACATCAATATCGAATTTGAGAATTTCAGCTCTACTTCTACACCCAATACCAAATTTGTTACTTTCGTACAATTATGGTAACATCTGTAAAACCAGCTACGTATTTCAATTCTAGATATCAACAGAGACCTCAATATCAAATTTCGAGATTCCTGCTCCACCCCCTTAACCAATACCAAATTGAGTACCATTTGGTACTTTTCGTACAAATATAGAACACATTCCAAAAACTGGCAAATCTCAACATAAAATACCAATGGTTATCTAAATATAAAATTTCAGAATTTTATCTCTATCACTTCGTCCTATACCCAATATAGTACCATTAAGTACTTTTCGTACAATTAGAGTACACATTTCCGAAACCACCTCCATATGTCCAGGCTACATACGAACATCGACCGTGCAAGTATTATATTTTCAGCTAATACCAAATTGTACCAAATATGGTACTATTTAGTACTTTTTGCACAATTATAATACATATTTCCAAAATCACCTCCATATCTTAATCCCAGATATCAACAGAGACCTCAATATGAAATTTGAGGATTTTAGGTATATCCCTTCACCCAATACCGAATTTAGTACCATCCAGTACTTTTCGAACAAATATAGAAAACATTTCCAAAAACCGCCAAATCTCATCCTCAGATACCAAGGGTTATCTAAATATAACATTTCAGATTTTTATATCCATCCCTTCGTCCTATACCAAATATAGCATCATTAAGTACTTTTTGTACAATTAGAGTACACATTTCCGAAACCACCTCCAGGCTATCATATTAACATCGACCGTATAGTACCATTCGGTACTTTTCGTTTCCCATATTTCATAACTCCCCCCTCCCCCACCATATCAAATTTCAGATTTCAAGCACTATCTGTTCACCAAATACCAAATTTTGTTCTATTTAGTACTTTTCGTGCACTTGTAGTACACATTTCCAAAACCATCTTTTAATCACAAACCTACCACTAACAGGGACGTTAATACAAACTTTTAAAATTCCAGCTTCATCCGCTCACCTTAAAACAGAATATTCCAAATTTAGTACCATTTGCTATAGTTCGCACACTTGGTACACAATTTTTAAGTTTTCGTCTACATCCGGTCACAAAATACCAAAATGGTAATATTTCAGAAATTTAGTACCATTTTAGAACTTTTCGTAAATCTTAAAGTTTGAATTTCCACAAACCTTTTTGGTATATCTATCCTGTACTCCATCACTGGCTCTCATTCCAAATTTCGGTTCCGCCTGTTCATCCAGTATAAAGTATTAAAAATTTTGTACTTTTCATATCCTTTTAGTACAGGTTCCAAAAAAAACCGTTTACGCATCATGACTGACCCTCGTGCAAGATTGTACCTTCAGCCATTTCGTCTAGACCTTGATTCTCAGTCAGTTATTTCACCACCACCTTTCCAAGATGGAGGGTATAAAAATACACGACTTTTACATACGAGGAAGTGTGTGATAAACTCCTTAGAAATATTTAAAAAATCTAAATGTGTTTTTTGACTCTTCTTTTCCAGGAAGTCCCTGAAGCCTTATTCTTAAAAACCCCGAGATTACAGCTTCAAAATTTAATACTCCTTAGAGAAAAAAAAAAATTTTTTTTTTATTTTTTTACAAAAAATCTTTATTGGAAGAAATTTATTAAATTCAAGTTCATCATCCGATCTAATAAGATCTATAAATCGCTAATATCCTTACAACCTGAAAAGTTCCATTTGTTGTCCTTTTCAACGCTTCTGACGATGTCCGGCACCAAATTTGACTTTTCTCATCGATTCCGTTGAGGTGACCGATTGACGTGAACCCCTCTTCGAACGCCTTCCCTTGCGAGTCAATTTCATGATTGCCTTACTCAAGCCATGGAAATGCGGTGTCAGGACAATGCACAGGAACAGCAACATATAAAAACACGTAAACAGGCCACAGAAGAGGCAACGTTTTCGGCTAAAGCCAATATTCCAGAATAACATGGTAATGACAATCAGACCGATGTGAGCATGAATGCCCGAATGACAAGCCTGTTCGTCGGGACTGCGACCACGTCGAAACACCACCAAATGGAGGGCAATCACACACTGCAGGGCCAGCGGAATCCAGATAACCATATTGTAGAACGTCACTAAATGGTCCATGTTCGCCATAAGGAAAACCACCAAAACTCCAATGTGAATGAGAGAGTGCAGAACAATTGTCAGCCACCAAACGCCGAAGAGACGATACAGCAACACCGCATTCGTAATCAGATAGAAAAACATAAGATTCGGCTCGTGCGAAAAATAGAAATCGCCCACCATTAGGCCCAACGATGCCAGGAAAGTGACCCACAGCAGGACGTAAAGGGATCTTTTGCCCATTTTTTATTGAGGGTCGGTCGTATCGACAGGATTTTAAAATGAACGACCAATAATTAATTGTGTTTGGTTTGGGGACAAAAAAAATTGAAAACAAAATTGTCAAAATTTGAATGAAAAATCCTGGTTATTTTAAATAATTCAAAAAATTAATAACCCAATAGAAAGGTGCTTAAATAAGAATTCGGACGCTACAAGTCCACGATGATATAAAAGGGCTTAGAAGTACACAATAAAAGATCCCAAAATTCATTTAAGCAATTCTCATTGAGAACCAGAGACAATACTTTTAAAATGTCTTCCCCATAAAAACCTTGTAAAGGGTCCTTTCGTAGAAGGTTTTAAAAGGCCACTAAAAAGAGGACAGATAGGGAAATACATTTTTCTTCAACAAAAAAAAAAAAAGAGTAAAATACTA